AGCTTGGAAGTAGTGGGCCAACCTTTTTGATGAAGTGACTATGGCAAATACTGTTTTCTCCAACACATTGTACCGGAGCTCCACGTCGTGTAGGGCTTTACTCACGTAGTAGATGGGGCGCTGAGTCCCTCCTTCTTCTTTGACCAGCACGGAGCTGATCGCACCCTGCGACACGCCCAAGTACAAGATTAGAGCTTCACCTGCTTCTGGCTTTGCAAGCAGGGGCGGGGACAACAAGTATTTTTTCAACTCCTCGAAGGCCTTTTGACGGTCTGGCATCCACTCGAACCCTTTGTTCTTTTTCAAGATTTGGAAGAAGGGAAGGGAACGTTCAGCCGATTTAGTCCGGTCCTAGTGACCATGAAGCCCAAAAATTTGCCCCCATCAACGGCGAAGGTGCATTTTTTTGGGTTCAAGCACAAATTAAATTTCTTCATAATGGAAAATACCTCGCTGAGATCCTCGACATGGGAGGTGGCCTTGCGACTTTTGACGATCATGTCGTCCACGTATGCTTCCATGTTTCGTCCCAATACTGTCTTGAACAGCTTTGCCACCATGCGAGTGTGTGTGGCCCCGGCATTCTTCAATCCGAATGGCATGACCAAGTAGCAGAATATCCCCTCGGGAGTGGTGAAGGCGGTCTTTTCGGCGTCCCCCTCATGCATGGATATCTGATGGTACCCACGGAAGGCGTCCATGAAGCTCATGAGTTCACATCCTGCCGTCTCGTCCACCAATTGATCTATATTGGGTAGTGGAAAACGGTCCATAGGGCATGCCCTATTGAGGTCCGTGTAGTCCACGCACATCCTCCATGTTGATCCTTTGGGAGCCAAGACTACGTTGCTCAACCACTGTGGGTAGTAAATCTCCTTGATGTTCCCCACGTGGAGTAACGCGGTCACCTCCTTTTTCACGAACTCTCTTCGTTCTACCGACATATACCTTTTTCGCTGATGCACTGGTTTTCCGCTGGGGTCGACTGCGAGCTTGTGGGTTATGATGCTTCGATCTATGCCCGGCATGTCCTCTGGCCCCCATGCGAACACTGCGTGGGAATGGCGGATTACATCCACTATCTGGGCCCTTAGCTCTGGGCTTAAGCCTGCTCTTCACCACTCGGTCTGGTCTGGAGGGATCTAGAACTATATCTTCCGTTTCTGATGCGGGCTCGGTGCGGGGCCAGGCCTCTTCTTCTTTGATAATTTTCTCCGCGATCGTGTGGACCTATAGGTCCTTACTGCCAATCTTCTTGCATGTCTTCACGTAGCAACTGCGGGCTGCCCGGCGATCCCCTCTGACGACCCCTATTCCATTCGGAGTAGGGAACTTCATACACAAGTGTTCCACCGATACTATGGCCTTGAGGTCCTCTAGTGATGGCCTCCCCAGTATGATGTTGTGCGCACAAGTGAGTCTTACCACGATGAACTCCATGTCCAGCTTGTGAATGTTGGGGTTCGTGCCTATCTCCACGGGCAGGGTCACCGACCCTTCTGTTTCCACCGAATCCCCAGTAAACCCAGAGAGTGGAGTTCGTACCTCTTTGAGCTGGCCTCTAGGTAGCCCTAACTTGGTGAAGGCGTCGTAGTACATCACATTGACCGAGCTCCCCGTGTCGACCGAAATACGATGTACGATCATATCATTGATGTCCATCTTAATCACTAGTGCGTCGCGATGGGGTAAGGGACCCTCGGGGAGGTCCTCGTCAGAGAAAGTGATGGCCTCCCACCTCTGCTTCTTTCCTTTGGGAAGACTTACCACTTCTCCCACGTACAGCTGTCTGCTCCACTTCTCCCGCAGGTCCACCATAGATAAAGTGTATGGTGTGCTTCTTTTGTCGCCTGGGCGCCACCTCGGTTTCCTTCTCGCTATCATCCTGCTCAGATATCTGGCCATGTTCTCTTTTCTTGGCGTTCGAGGTGGACGGCTCGGCGCCATCCTCCTTCCTCCAGACATTTTTTGGTGGATTTTTTTATGGATCGTGTTGCGGCTGTTGCTGCTGCTTGGATCGCTTGACAAAATGCCGGAAGTAGCCCTGCTGGATGAGGTCTTCTATTTGCCTCTTCAGCACGTTACATTCATCCGTGTCGTGCCCGGGTTGCCTATGGAACCTGCAGTACTTTGCTTGGTCTCCTTTTGGGTAGACCTTCATGCACTCTGGTGGGAACTCGACTATTCCCATCTCCTCAACCTGTTTTAGGATGACACTGACGGGATGGGTAAGGGCAGTTAGGTTACGCAAGGGAACCTGGCGAGGCCGTTCGTGGTCCCGGCCTTTCCCTGCGGCCGGGTGGTTCGAACGTGGTGCCTGGCTGGGCGGACCAGCTTTCCCAGGTTTCCCGTTTTTCCTACCGTCCTCCTCATCTTTCTTCTTCCTGTCGACGTCCTCCGCTTCGGCATAGCGGCTAGCCGTCCTCATCAGATCTTCGTAAGAACGAGGGTGGTGGCCATTCAGCTGCTTGTGAAAATACCCCGACCTCAAGGCATGGATGAATATCGGGATCGCCGCCTTGGAGTCGAAGTCATAGACATTATTGACTTCCTTTTTCCATTTGATCAGGAAGTCTTTGAGGCTCTCGCCTCTATCTTGCTTTACTATACAGAGATGAGAGAAGGGTTTCTTACGCTGTATGCTACCAGAGAAGTATGTCAGGACGCTTTTGGACAACTCCCCAAAGCTTTGGATTGACCCGTCCGGGATGGTGTTGAACCAGTCATCGGCCGCTCCATCCAGGGTGAACAGGAATGCTCGGCACATGATGGCATCCCCTGCCCCGATCATTACCATAGCAGCCTTGTACCTTGTCATGTGGACACGTGGGTCAGTAGCTCCCGTGTACGCCTTGATGGCGGGTAACCTGAAATCCCTCGGTAGAGGTACGTCCATGATGCTTGAGGAGAACGGTGCTGCCATCCGTACCTCGGGTTCCGGCGACTACTCCCGTGCCTTCACCCTTCTTGCTAACTCCTCGATCCTTCTCTGTAGCCTCTCGACTAGGGTCAACTCGTTAGGGTGCCGGCGCGGGGCCGGCTGCCGCTCCTCCATGTGTCGGCGTGGGGCTAGTTCATCGAAGCGTCGCTCATCCGAGTGTCGACGCAGGGCCGACTCGTCACCATGCCGGCGGGGGGCAGGCTCACGAGACTCGCCCATCCTTTCTGTGGGCGACCTTTCCGCTTCTCTTTCTTCGTGTTGGCGAGGGCCTCTAGCGGAGGACCCCTCGGCACGTGATTCTGGCCTTTGCCGAGCGGGCGCCCCGTGTCCCAACCGTTCCAGGGCAGAGCGGGAGGGTCCAGGTTGCCGTCTGGCCGGACCGCTTTTTTGGGTGCCTTCTCCTGGACCCCTTGTCCTGATGAGACGCCCTGCGTCCCTCGCTGCACGGGTTGCGCCCTGGGCATCCGCCCTCCGTGGGGATTCTACCTCTATTTTCTGAGGTCGTGGCGGGACTACTTGGCCTTGGAGTCCCACTGCCACCTGATTTAGTGCCGCCGTCACTACTTGCTGAATGGTAGCCTGGAGGTTCACGACTTGGTTCACCCCTCCATTGTTGAGTTGGTCTCGGAGGTCCCCTCCATTGTTGAGTTGGTCTCGAAGGTCCCCTCCATTGTTGAGTTGGTCTCGAAGGTCCCCGGGCCTCCCGTTGTTGAGCTGTTCTCGGAGGTCCCCTCCGCGATTGTTGGTGAGTTGGTCCCGGAGGTCACCTGAGGCATTGCCATTGTTCATGTTGCGGGAACCATGGGAGCTGCGGGACACCATTTTCTCAAGCTTGCTGTTGAAAGAGGAATGAGTTATGTGTGTTGTAGCCTGCTTGAATATTGGACTCAGGCTCTCAATGAAAGCACCAATGACGGTAAATATGTTACCGGTAATAATAATATTACAATAACGGATTATAACAATAGTTGTATTGTCTTAGTCTCAGTATAGAAAATACAGTTTGTCCTTTGCTAGCTGAGGAGAGCCCCATTTATACTAGGGTCCTAACGGTAACAACATGGGACATAAATGGGGAGCCTAAGCTTTTAATTCTCTCTCATCAATGGGGGTTTCAATGCTGGCTTCAATGGCAGTAAAGGAGGCATCTGTTGGAATTCTGTCCGTTGAGGTTCTACCCGTTGGTTTTCATGTGGTGCCGGGTCGGATGCCCACTTGTGATCCGGGTCGGGTTCCAGCCCTATTATCCTGTCACTTATTTTAGAACCATATATGTAGCAAGCTCAAAGAATTGTTTTAGAACTGAATTTTTGTGCATGTGTCCCAATTTGTATATTTCATTGGGTATTCAATGGAACCATAATTTATCCAACTTATTTCATCAATTGCACTATATAATATTTGTTGTTATAATTTATATAATTATATATCGATCTAAATATTATTAAAATATTATAACAAATCCATTTCGTGCAAACACGAGTGAAAACTTTACAATAATATAAAAGATTTGATATAGAAAATTTTACGCACATTTTTCTTAAGGCGGAAACTTGTGTGAAAATGTAATATTTATATTGAAAAATGTATTATTAATTCATAATAAAGTATTTATTACTTAATTATATGAAAAAATGTACTATAATATTTTTTTTAAAATATAATATTTTTACAGTTTGATTGGTATTAATTTTTTTTTTTTTTTTTGAGGACCAAGGAAACCATTGTATTAGAAAAATTTCGAAATACAATCGGGAGGGGTCATAAACCACTCTCCTAGGACAGAGGATGAACCAAACTTTTTATTTTTAAATATAAGTATTAAATTTCATCTTGATTCAACTAGCGGATAAGTAACTCTTTTCTTAACTGATTTATATCCTTATTATAACCCACAGGAAAAACAAAAAGACGGGACTGCAAGACAGAACCTGAAACCGGTTGCTATAGCAGTTAAACTCATTCTGAAATCAAAATCCATCAAATAAGCATACCATATATATAATAAAGAAATTCAAGTTGCTTTTAGTATAAAGTTAATGCTAAGCAAGACATCTTCCTCACCTTTCTGCAAATTACATCAAACGTAATTGCTATAATCACCATGCAGTCAACCACCGTATTTTGTTCTTTCCTTCTCTTCTCCTTTCTAGCACTGCAATATTCTCCGCTTTGTGCAGCGGCTTCTCAGCCTAACCCAGTACTCGACATGACCGGAAAGACCGTCCGAGAAGGCATCGACTATTACATCAAGCCAATCCGACAAGATTTAGGCCTCGGACTCAACCTAGCTAGCGTCGGAAACTACACATGTCCACTCAGCGTCGTTCAAAAAGAACCCTACGACGGCGGCATCCCCATAACGTTTTTCCCCGTCAATCCCAAGAAAGGCGTGATACGTGAGTGGACAGACATGAACGTTGAATTTCCCAAAGGCTACTCGTTTGTGGAGGCTTGCCCCGGGTACTCTTTTGTCTGGACACTCGATCGTTACAAGCCGTTGTCTAGTGAGACCCACTACGTTGTCAACGGCGGCGTCAAAGGAAATCCTGGCCGGGACACTATAAAGAACTGGTTTAAGGTTGCGAAATCTGGTGAAGCTTACCGGTTTGTGTTCTGTCCGTCAGTGTGTGAATATTGTGAAGTCATTTGCAAAAACGTGGGGATTATTGTTGTGGAGGATGGGCAGAGGCGTTTGGCTCTTACAGATGATCCTTTGGAGCTCAAGTTTGAGAGAGTTTAAATTGTTTATAGTATTCCATCTATATGATTCAGCATTATCCAAATATCCAATAAGCCAGCCATTACCTCAGCTCCTTCCAAAACAATAAGAGCTAAGAATTGTGTTTGAAATAATGCTCAAACTATTAGAACAAATAAGATTTTCTGTCTAAGATTCTGTTTGGTTTTGTATTTGTAAGTCTAAATTAAATGAGATTCATCTTATTTAATTATTTAAAATTGTTAAGAATATAGCGGAATAATGCGGAAGCGAAGAATAGAAAATTGAGAATTACAGAAGTTAAATAATAGAAAAATATATAAAATGACAAAATAAATTAATAAGGATGAAAAAATATAAATACATATACATATATATATATATATATATATATATATATATATATATATATATATATATATATTAATCTCTTATAAAGAGAATACAAAGGAATATACATATATATATATATATATATATATATATATATATATATATATATATATATATACTCTACGTATGAGAAAGAAGAAAGGAATGAATGAATTGATGTGTGTTGAACAAAGCAAAACACTAAGCTATTTATACATTACAATCAGAGAAATAATCGCATGAAACATGGAATATAAACGTGTTGCGGCAGTTGGCGTGAAGAACCGAGACCGGCAGGACGTGCATGCAACGTGGAAGCTAGATAGAAGACTTATTCTCCATGGATTTGAGCCACATAAAATATTATTTTCTAACAATCTCCACCTTAAATCAAATTAATTGTAGAATTAACAACTGAAACAGCCGACTAAACTCGAGCACTGCTTGAACTTAGCAATATGAAAAACTTCAGAATAGCAGGATGGATCACCATCAACTTCCTATGCGACTGAAAGAGCATAAGCAACCATGTTGGTTTCATCATCACTAGCATACCTAGCAGGTTTTTTAATTGTCCTCCTAGGACGATCCATAGCAATGGAATACTCTCGCTGTGGCTCAACGAGAGGTGCGGTGCTAGTAGATGAATCATCTTTAGTATTACCATCAGTGGTAGTAATACTATCAATAGGCCTGAACTCAAACTCCACCTTTTCACCAGTACTCTGCGTCTCATCTGTACTGGGAACTTTTCCAGAAGAAAGTAGTGCATTTTCATCAAAAGTGATATCTCGACTCAGAATGATTTTCTGAGAATCAGGAGACCATAGACGATACCCTTTTGACTCAGAAGCATAACCAAGGAAAATGCATTTGATAGCTCTCGGGTTTAATTTACCCGTACTAGAATGAGCATAAGCAGGACATCCAAAAACTCTTAAGATAGAGTAATCAACAGGATTACCTGACCAAACTTCCTCTGGAATTTTGAAATCAAAGGATGAATGTGGAGATCTATTTACCAAATAGCAAGCAGTAGAAACGGCCTCGGCCCAAAAATCACGTCGTTTCCATAACCCAGCATTAAAGAGCATACAACGAGCTCTTTCCAATAGAGTTCTGTTCAAACGTTCGGCAAAACCATTTTGCTGGGGTTTACCAGGCATGGTCTTGTGCCTGGCAATTCCATTTGCCGCACAAAAGTCATTGAAATCTGACTCACAGAACTCCAAGCTATTGTCTGTCCTGAGCTTGACTTTTTTCCCTGTCTGAGTCTCAACAAGTATTTTCCACTTTTTGAAATAGGGAAAACCTGATTTTTGTGTTTCAAGAAATAGACCCAGACCTTACGGGAAAAGTCATCAATAATAGACATGAAATATCTACAACCTCCCATAGACTGAAATTTAGTCGGTCCCCATAAATCGGAATGTATATATTCCAATACATCTTTGGTACGGTGTGTAGCAGTAGAGAAACTAACCCTCTTATGTTTTCCAAAAACACAATGTTCACAAAATTGTAATTTACCCGTACCTGAATCACCAAGGAGACCTTTCTTGCTTAGGAGATGCATGCCTTTCTCACTCATATGCCCCAGACGCATATGCCATAATTGAGTGAGATCAGCATCAGACATCGATGAGGATACCGCTACTGAACCTGTCACAGTACTGCCATGCAAGACGTATAAGCTTCCAGAACGAGAAGCTTTCATGAGAACAAGAGAGCCTTTGATGACTTTCATAACTCCACCTTCAGCTATGTACTTGCACCCCAGAGATTCCAAGGTGCCCAAAGATATCAGATTGTGTTTCAAATCAGGAATATACCGAACATTGGTAAGAGTCCTGATAACGTTATCATGAGTTTTAATCTGCACACTTCCAATTCCACTAACCTTGCATTGGGTATCATTACCCAGTAAGACAACTCCACCATCAACCAGTTCCAGAGAGACGAACCAGTCTTTGTGAGGACACATGTGGAATGTACAACCAGAGTCCAGAATCCACTCGGTTTCGCTCCGTTTGCAACCGGAGCTAACAGATAACATAACATCGCCTTCTGAATCACTTTCAGCAACACTAGCTTCAGCGGACTTCTTTTCTCTATCTTGCTTGTTTTTCAGCTTGAAGCATTCAGTCACATCGTGACCCTGCTTCTTGCAGTACTTACAGGATTTGTTGGACTTTCGTCCTTTGGACTTGGATCTAGATTTTTTATTGCTACTCCCTGATTCAAGTGAACAACCCCTTACAGTCAAGCCTTCACCTTTGTCCTCAGACTTAATTTCAAAGTCAAACTTTTCTTTGGACAACAGGTTTGACTTAACACTGTCGAAAGTAAGGGTATCACTACTATTACCATACAGCATAATTTCTTTGAAATGCTTGTATGATTTAGGGAGAGAGACAAGCAATCAAACAGCGCAATCCTCATCTTCAATTATGACATCAATATTTTCCAAGTCCAATAAAATAGAATTGAATTCATCCAAGTGAGATTTAATAGAAGTACCTTCCGTCATACGGATTGTGTACAGACGCTCCTTCAAGCGTAGCATATTAGCCAGAGTTTTGGCCATGTAAAGCGTATCCAGCTTGGACCATAAATCTGATGCAGTTGCCTCACTTACTACCTCACGTAGAACCTCTTTAGACATGCACAAAAGGATGGTTGAACGTGCCTTGTCATCCAAATCTTCCCAATCTTCATCTGTCATTGTAGCCGATTTCTTCTTCTTCCCAGCTAGCGCTTTCTTCAAACCGTTCTGGGTTAGAACGGCTTCCATTTGAACCTTCTAGATAGAAAAGCTAATTTTTCCGTCGAACTTAGTGACAGTCGACATCTTTGAAAATAATTCTCAAATAAACCGCTCTGATACCACTTGTTAGGAATATAGCGGAATAATGCGGAAGCGAAGAATCGAAAATTGAGAATTATAGAAGTTAAATAATAAGAAAATATATAAAATGACAAAATAAATTAATAAGGATGGGAAAATATATAAATAAATAAATAAATATATATATATATATATATATATATATATATATATATATATATATATATATACTCTACGTATGAGAAAGAAGAAAGGAATGAATGAATTGATGTGTGTTGAACAAAGCAAAACACTAAGCTATTTATACATTACAATCAGAGAAATAATCGCATGAAACATGGAAACGTGTTGCGGCAGTTGGCGTGAAGAACCGAGACAGGCAAGGACGTGCATGCAACGTGGAAGCTAGATAGAAGACTTATTCTCCATGGATTTGAGCCACATAAAATATTAATTTCTAACAAAAATGTATACAATTAAAGTTATTTTGGCGAAAACATAAAATTGAGCAAAACAACGTGTTCTTTTTATCGTGATCTACACAGCTTTGTGGATCGTGGTCCACACAATAACTATTGCTGAACAGTAGAAGCACCTTGAGTGGGTTCGACAAATTTTATTGTGGACCATGGTCCATGTAGTAGTGTGGTCCATAAAAGAAAGTATAATTCTAATTACACTTTATTTCATTTGATAATATTGCTCTGTTTTTCAGTTTCATTTTTCACACTCACTAGTTTCATTATAGCAATACCAAAGTATAATTTTAATTTTACTACAGTTTCATTTGACAATATACATTATTGTATGAGCTCTATTTTGTAATTTCATTTTCACATACACTAGTTTAATTATAATAATGCAAAAGTATTATTTTAATTACATTCTACGTTCATTCGACAATATATATTATTGTATGGTTCTTGATTTTAGTTTCATTTTCCACACACTAGTTTCATTTTAAAAAACATTAAAGTATCATTTTAATTATATTGCAGTTTCATTTGCCAATATATTGTGTGTTGTTGAATGCACTCTAATATTTAATTTAATTTTTCACACACACTAGTTTAATTTCAGCAATACTAAAGTATCATTTTAATTTAATTATAGTTTTATTTGACAACATAGTTCACATAGCACTATGGACCATGGTCCACCATATAACAACCAAGCGGGTTCCATTGGGCTTTATTAATTAATTATTAATAGATTTTTCCTATTAGGCCTATTATGTATTGTATTATATGAAACTCTAGAGATCGAATACACGCTCCCTGGGATGGATGACGAAAAGCTCTCTGGGCAACGATCGGAGGAGGATCACGATCTCCTCGAACGCAGCACGAAGAAACACAAACGCACAGGGACTGAGATACTCACCCTTCCGTTAGCCACGACGGAGATGGATCGAATCGATGTCAGCGTCGTGCATGAGACTCCCATGGCGGAGATGGTGGAGGCCAACCCATCGGCGTCCATGCAGGTACATCAGGTGACGGATTCTGGATTACCTATAATGACCCCTTCTCTTTCGCAGGTACCGGAGACACTTTCGCGGACATACGCTCAGAGTGTCACCGGCCACCATCCCCAGAGCGCGCATGTCGGAGCAGAGGTCGATGAAAACATTCTGGAGGCTGAATCCGATGAGGAGGATGATGATCCTCTATGTCCTACCATCCGGCTCACGAAGCAAGAAGTGGAGGAGATCAGGGCACCATGGAGAAGTGCGGTCATTATCAAGGTGATGGGCAGGGCAGTAGGTTATGCGTATTTGTTACGGCGGATCACAGCTATGTGGAAGCCTAAAGGGAGTCTAGATATGATTGCTATTGATAACGGCTACTACATCGTGCGCTTTGGATCCGTGGAGGACATGGATTTCGATCTATACGAGGGGCCGTGGATGATTTTAGATCACTATTTGATCGTCAAGCCTTGGGTGCCGGACTTTGATCCGTTCTCGGCTGTCACGGAGAAGGTGGTAGTTTGGGTCCGGATACCATGCCTACCGGC